CGCCTCGGCTCGCACAGACTCAAGGCTGCACCCCGGAGCGCATCCTGAGCCAAGCAGGTGGGTTCACGGACTCCTGGCCTGGCAGCGGCCGTGCTAAGAGCAGGGCGGGGGGAATTTCTCCCCGGAGACTCACCCTGACTTGGTCGTACCGGAGCTGAGCCTTGCGTTTCAGTTCTGCCACTGCGAGCCGGAGAGAAGGGAGATTAGCCCCCGGGAGGCGAAAGGCCACTTGTGCGGAGGCGCCCCCCAGGGCTGTGACTCAGGAAGCGTGTTGCAGGGCCGTGGGGAGGGGTTTGGAAAGAGTCACACGCTGACCGAGAACACGCAGCGCTTTGCACGGCAGCCACCATCTGCGGCTACGGGGGTCTGTTTTCTACCCAGAGGACCTGCTCCCTCTCCTCTTCCCCAGGGAGCTAGGAAGAGAAACTGGGTCTTCTTACTCCTAGCGCTGGGCCCCACCCACTGGCCATGCTGCCTCCCCTCCCCGTTCCGCAATGGACGTAAGGCTCTTACGGGCGCCGCTCACGTCCTGCGGGTTGACGGAGGCCTCGGCAGGCTCGAAGGCCCCCGTGCGGAGAACGTAGTCTGTGCTCAGGGCCATGGTGTTCACCCAGTGTGCGTGGCCCTGCAGGGTGCGGCAGAGGATTCCCTACGAGCAAAAAACCCGCCTGCTTAGAAGGGGCAGCGCAAGGAGTAGAGCTAGGGCCTCCCGGGCTGCCACGGGCTGTGGGCAACGCCGAGGGCAGGACATGGGCCTTCCCCCCCTCCATGCAGTTCCAGGCAGCGCGAGGGTCCCCCGGTGGGACAGTCCCGCTCCCAGCTCCACTTTGAGTCAGGCCAGGGGATGTCCCAGCCTCACCATCCATCAGCTACGGGCAGTACCGAGTTCGGAGGACAGGAACTCCTGGCTCACGGCCGGGCCAGCGCCGTATTCCCCTGGCTGGTGGGTCCAGCTTCCGTGAGCAAGCGCCACAGCCCCCGGGGCCCACACAGTCCCTCCGACCACCAGCAAGCAGCACCAAACCCATTTCTGCCGAGCTGCCACCTATCCTGAGCAGTTCCCAGGTTCCGCACCCTGCACGACCAACAAATTCCCTTGGCCGAGGAGCAGATCAGCTTCCCAAGGAAAACAATCCCTCCAGTTCCTAAAATCCGCCAGTAGGGGGTGCAGCTGAGCAGCAGGCGGGGCCAGGCCGGGCAACACCAATTCAGGCCGGATGCGTCGTTTTCCTGAAGCCCCGCCCCCGCCCGGGCGGTTGCACTTACATCCTGGCCTCTCCAGACCTTGATGGTTCTGTCCTGGGAGGAGGAGTACAGCAGCCCGTCTCCCCCCCACTTGACACACGTGACCGACTGCGTGTGCCCGGTGAGGATCTTGGATGCGGATGCTGCCGTCCTTGGAGGCGCTGGCCAAATAGCGGCACTCGGGGTTTCTGGACGGAAGGAAGGAAGGGAAGCTGGAGCCTGTGAAGGCAGAGGACGGCAAAGCCAGCTCCTCTTCCGGCAGCGACCCGTCTGCATCAGCTTGGCAGCCAGAGAGAGGCCAGGGGTTCCTTAGGCTCCTGAG